GAAAGAGAAAAATCTGGAAAACCCAAGAAGCTGACAAACTGCTGAGTAAAATTTTGCTTTTGGAAAAAAGATTCATTTAATTTGAGTGAGAATTTCTGTGTTTGTCACAATTACTGAATTACTATGCTCACTACGAATTTTATACAGTTACACTGCTACTGCCTGGCAACTGAAGCAAGGTTCAGTTAAAAAAAAATCAGCAACAACTACGAGAACAGATGTATTTCTCAAAAACATATTTGCAAGCTTAATCATAAGCATGGCACTGTGAGCATAGTGTTTAACTTCATGTGAATCAACTTATGTGCACAGTTCTGCTCTCTAAGGAGAGCAAAAATCCAAAATGTAGTTTTATGGGTTCTGGTTAGTTGCAACATTTCATCTTCACAGAAGTAAACAGAAACCTGGGGTCTTAAGATTACTTATTTAGCAATTTTTCATTATATTGTATGGCTTTGTAATTTATTGTTGCCTGTAAAACTGCAAATTAAATGGACTTATTGCTGATTTCCCTGATGAGACAGAATATGCTTCCAGTAATAACACAACCTTTTGGTCCTTGGGGAAGGAAATACAAAGAAGGAACAAAGACCTGTGAGTCATAAACAATGTAAGTTTTGCTTCATCCCACAAATCGCTTGTGAAGCTGCTATGCTGTCGCAGAAGAGGTCACAGAGCTATCATTTAATCACTCAGAATGGCCAGGGTACCACCAACTTATAATGTGCATTAATAAAAAGCCTAACAAAGTAAGCCTTTTAAAGAAAACTGTCTCTCGCCTTGGTCACAGTTTTCTTCATCACTGCCATCCACGCAGTCATGGATCCCATCACAAAGCCATCTGACAGGGATACAGTAGGCCTTATTTCTGCATCGAAACTGATCTTCTTTACATTCTGTTACACAATCCATCTGTGTGAATACAGAGATGAACTAAGCATTAATGAATGAGAACAATGACAAGCTTAAGACAAATTTTACCAACACTGTTTTCTGTTGCCCTA